AACCGCGCGCCCCTTCCGCCCAGCGGACCAGGGAGACGCCCCCCCCCCCCAGCAGACCAGGGAGACGTGGGTGGCGGGACCGCTGAGACGCGCCGCGGTCCCGCTGCCCACGTCCTCCACGGCTTTGCTCCGTCTCCCTGGTCTGCTGACCAGGGAGACGGGGAGCAAAGCCTTGGAGCATGCCCGCAGCGGGACAGCCCAGCAGACCAGGGAGACATGGAGCAGCTTTTCTCGCCCCGGAGGACGGGGGCGGCGGGACTGCAGCGCATCTGGGCGTCCCGCTGCTCCAGTCCTCCGGGGCGAGAAAAGCCCCATTCGTAACTGCGGATCCGACATAAGTCGGATCCGCATAACTCGGGGACTGCCTGTACAATAACTTTAACATAGAACCTGAAAGCAGACCACTGGGCCATTGAGTTCCCCAGGGCTTCAGATGGCCATAGGAGTCTGTCCACCAAGACCTTACTGAAAAAGCAAGGTTTTTATTCTCATTATTCTTATTTCACCCATTTCAATCCCCTCTCCATTATTTACATACAATGAATGCCAGAAAACCATACTTTAGACTCAAACAAATGGCTGCTTTGGCATTTGGAATTCTAATATGTAGCAAAGAACATTTTTTGTTCCTGTTTTCCTTGGATTTGGCATAAAAAGAGTTAATGAATGACAGCCATCTTCTCTAGGGAACTCTTGGGTTGTGCCATTATCCTTGCATACAGGTAGAAAATTTCAGGTAGAGATTTCCACTTATTACAGGTATTGCTACAAAGAACATTCTCTCCCTTTGTTAATCTCTCTGCACAGCAGGATTACAGAGGATCATAATCTCTCTCCAAAAAAAATCCAAAGCAAAACAAAAGCAAACAGTTGCCAATTTGTTTCCTAAGAATAAATCTTAAAAAGAAAGATCTAGGAATTACTAGTGAAAACAGGAGGTTCTGGTCTGACATTGACCAGCCTTTTTGCTAAGAGGAAACATCCCTACATGCCTTCCCCTGGAGCACATGGAACAGGCAGACTTTTTGCAGGTAAGACTGATACTAGCTTATGGTGAGATTTTTGGGATATCCATATTAATGTTTTACTGTTTAAAATCTATTCATGCATTTCCCTGTAGCAGAGTCATTATTAAATGATGAAAAAGGTGGTAACGAGGCTGCAATATAATAGGCAGATAAAGTGTTTGATTTGTTGGGAATGATCCAGAGGAACTTCAGATATCTTGGATGGTAAAATCAGTTTGCGTTTCCTTAAAGGGGGGGGGGGAGGTGAAGATTCCCTGCAGTTATTCTTGCTACAGTTATTTATCGAGAATGGGGGAGGAAGGAGGAATTAAAACTAATACAAAGGAAAAAAGATTCTACCTGTATTACAATAGCTTACATGGAGCCCTCTGCATAAGAGCAGAAATATTATACAGAGGTAATGAGATGAGAAACCATGGCAACACCTACACTTTGCCAAGCTGAACAGGTATTGAAAGTGTACACTGAAATATGCACAAAGCTACTTTTTATACACCTCAAGCACAATCTGGCAAACATTTATTATTCTCTTGAGTATTTTGCTTCAGACCTGTGTTCTGTATAGTGTTTAATTATATGCTTAACAGACGTGATAAACGTATTAGTATTTGTCACCTAGTTGAAAATGTGATGCATGGACATTAGTCATTACCAGGTCTGAGTCACACTTCAACCTCCATACATACTTAGGCGCCAGTCTTGAACTTTCTCCTGCACAAGCAAACCCCTGTGCCTGTACAGAGCCACAGTGAAGTCAAAGAGTCGCTGTGTGACTTCTGAGGTCCATACACCTGGAAGGAGTTATAGGATTGAGGCCTTAGCTACTAATTCATTTTATGAAAGGTGTAAAAAATTGTTGATTGTACACCAACTATGCAGGACAGCAAATGTACTAGAGAAAAACAGTACCAAAGAGTTGAAGTAGTATAACAAGAGTTTCTGCAAGTATACTCGCTGTTATAAATGTGATGAGCCTAAATCTGGCTTCCTTACGGATGTAGAGAAGTACCTGATTCTACAAATAATCCTATTTATTTCAATGAAGAGTATGGTCCTCATTGTAAGGTGGGAAGAATCATACTTTATATTAGAGGTTCTCAAACTAGAGTTGGGACCCCGAAGAGGGTCATGGCCCCTTTTTAACAGGGTCACCAAGACTGACTTAGACCAAGGCCAAAGCCCAAGCCCTACCACCCAGGGCCAAAGCAGAAGCCCCAGAGCTTAAGCCCTGGGTGGTGGGGCTCAGGTTACAGGCCCCCTTCCCGGGGCTGAAGCCCTTGTACCGTCCCCTGCCTGAGGCAGCTGAGCTTGGGTAGGCTCAGACTTTCATTCCCGCTCCTGGGCTCGTGTTATAATTTTTGTTGGCAGAAGGAGGTCGCACTGCAATGAAGTTTGAGGACTGCTGCCTTATATGAATAATTTGTTTTGAACCCAGTTCATCCCACTTTCTTCATCCTTTCTCAAATGGTTCAGAGTTTTGTAAGTTTCTGTTCATGAAGAAAACAGCAGTGGAGGAAAAATAGGACTCAATAATTTTACATGCCAGTCTTGTAAGATAAAACAAGTACAAAATTCACAACAAAATGCTGGAGGGAATGCCATGGTAGCAGGGTAGTCTTCAGTTTTGGGACTATCCACAATAAAGAGACATCTGGCTAAAACTGGAAAATTTATGTACGAGTTAGTTCGGGAGTTTATACTCCCAATCTATATACTCCCCAAAAAGATATATTGGCATTGGAAAAGCTTCATAAAAGGGCAACAAAAATGATTAGGGCTTTGGAACGGATGCCATATGAAGAGAGATTAAAAAGACTGGGAGTTTTCAGCTTGGACAAAAGGAGACTAAGGGGGATATGCTAGAGGTCTATACAATCATGATAGGTATGGAGAAAGTGAATAAGGAAAAGTGATTTACTTGTTCCCATAACACAAGAACTAGGGGTCACGAAATGAAATTAATAGGTAGCAGGTTTAAAACAAACGAAAGGAAGTTTGTCTTCACACAGCACACAGTCAACCTGTGGAACTCTGTGCCAGAGAATATATTGAAGAACAGGACTTTAACAGGGTTCAAGGAAAGAACTACATACATTCTCAAAGGATAGGTCATTAATGGCTATTAGCCAGGCTGGGCAAGGATGGTGTCTCTATCCTCTGTTTGTCAGAGGCTAGGAATGGGTGACAGGAGGGATCACTGGATGATGCTCTGTTCTGTTCATTCCCTCTGGGGCACCTGTCATTGGCCACTGTTGGCAGATGGGATACAAGGCTAGGTGGAACTTTGGTCTGACCCAGCATGGCTGTTCTTATGTGGATTGCTATGGGGTTAGGCAAATGATTTGGATTAGGGTAGGATTTAAAAAAAAAAAAAAAAAAAAAAATTAGCATACACAGAAATATGGTTGGATTTCTTGTAACTGTAGCAATACGGATATTTAGTACTTACGGTTCTGGTTCTGCCATTGGATTCATGTGAGTTGACCTGTGCTGAGCCCTGTTAACTTTAAAGGAGCTCTATACAGATGTAAGGGTGCACCTTTGTTGACCTACTTGCATTTCTAAGCCTGAAGTAGCAAACAATATACAAAACTCATGATCACAAGAAAAATTCAAATATAGGCATACCATTTTGAGATGCAAACAGGAATTTTCTTGACGCTATCTTCATTGAAAAAAAATCACACCCCCTTCTAAAATACATATTAATTGCAAATGATTCTAAACTGGTGCACTGTATTGTTTTTCAGTTTTTTAACAGGGCTGTCACACACACAAAAGAGGAAATCACGCGGTAGAGCAGACATTCAAAAAGCAGGCGTTAATGTTTGCAGGGCAGGGGCTTGAAGAACTGCACTGTGAAGCTCTTACTCCAGCAGCACTCTTTTACAATATGACTATGTATAATGCCAGACATTATACTATATCAAGAATAAGCAGAAAAATCCATTCAAACTGAATTCTTTGTCTTGTGAGACTGGAAAAGCCCAGTTAACCCTTCAATCCTTCCAATGATACATGCCACATTCAGCCTTCTCCAGCCATTGCCAACTATATTTAGGATCTAAACTGAAAATATTATTTTAGAAAAAATGATAGGGGTAGTTGCTATATAGCAGAAAATAATGTAAATACTTACACTGTAGGTAATAAGGAATGAAAGAAATATGTGTGGCCACCAATTAACAGGAGACTAAACCAATCTCTTTTTTCTGTATTAAGTGTAATAATGAACCTGAACCAAGTGGGAGACCACTCTGTTCTCAAATGACTGAAATATTTCCTTTTCCAGAAACAGAACTGAAGTCCTTCTCCTAGAATCACTATTATTTTGTATTATTCATATGTGAAAGCTGTCTGCAGTAGTTCGGTCAGACAGGACAAGCAAGGCAGTCAGAATCATGTGGGCCAGGTTTCTGAATGATTAAAGGCAGTATGCATCTAGGGTGCAGAAGAATCTAAATTCATGAAAGATGCATTGAGAATTTCAACAGTCTCCCAGGGACTCAATGTGAGAGAAGAAAAAAAAAAAAAACAATAAACAAACCCTTCGACGTGAATGTCAGAAAATGACTCAGTCAAGGCAAGTCATAGGAACAGCTTAAAAGAAACTAGTTCCTTCACCTGGCAGTGTTGCCACTTCTTAAGAGAGTATCTCTCAAAATGGTGGCTGCTCCCCAGTGCTTTGGGCTGGAGAAAAGGCACTTACTGAGCTAATCGCATCGAGGAGATGTTTCTACTGGTGGCAGCAGCAGAAGTGCTGTTTGTTCTGGGTTTTGCGTGGAAGTCAGATTCACTTTGCTCACCCACTACTTTTTACAAAAACTGCTGGATCCGACGCTTCCCAGGTCTTCTGATTGATCTGCAGGGATCTCAGAAGAGGGGAGCCCAGGTGCTGAGGATTTATACAGAAGTCACAGCACAGCAGTGCAGCAGGACCTGCTGCCTTATGAAGAATGGTAAGTATTTACTATCTGCTTCTTTATAGAGCCCATGCAATCTGTATTAAAAATAGGTAGTCACGCACACAGGGGAAGTTAATTTTTAGGCTTTTTATACATCATTTAATCATTCCAAACAGTAAAAATACAAAAAGTTGATGGAAAGTGAAGACACAGCTAAACAATTTCCCTCCTCTTATCCACGTTTATCCTGATAGAAATGAACTTGGCTGCTTCAACTCTGTGGAAGAGCACACTGGAATGTTCATCTTTTTAGGCAAAAACTAAAATTAGGGTCTCTCTCTCCTTAACCGGGTAGGAATGGTTTATTGAAAAGTTAATGAAATGGAGGAACTACAGATTTTCATTACAACTTGGGTTTCCTGGGAAGTGGAATTAGAACTAGGAGCTCATGATTCTTAGACTCAAACCAAATAATGACCATACTGCTTCTCTGTAGTTGCAGAAATTGAAAGATTCTGTTAGGATTTCTGCACTGGCAATAATAGGGCAGGATGCTTTGTTAGGATATCAGCCTTGAATGGGATCAAATCAGATACTGGAAAAATTGCATAGCACTAGTAAAAGGAAAGCCTTCCATTTTAAGTTCTGAGGATATTTTGGGTTATTTATTTTGGGGAATAGAAGATTGTGAGGAAATTTAAGAGCCTGCATTATAAATTGGGAGGGTTTGGATATTAACAAGAGGCATTTTGAGCGGAGTCAATTTGTCTTAAGCAATACAGTGATTAAATCATTTGTTATAAATGTAGGAAGATTTTTATGTCACACAGGACAGTTGCACTAAAAGATGTAAAATTTTGAATGGATTTTGAAGGACAGTCAATAATGACATATGAAATATTACAACACAAAGTCACAGGTTCAAATATGGGTCTGTTATTTTATAAACCAGTTGGTTCTGTTGATGGAATGTTAATTAAGATGAAAAAAATACTCACTATTTCCCAGTAGACAGATGTACATACTACCAAAAAGACAAGAATTACCTGGACATGGAGATTCAAAAACAATATTTAGTCCATTCAAAATAGAGTTTTATGGGCACCAGCAAAAGTGGCATCGAGAAATTTACTCCATCACAATCCATGTTATACAGTGAAACAAGACTTTTGTTTATAGGACTATCAAAAACAGGTTTAACAAGCATTAAAATTACAATATGAAAAAGTTAAAATAATTAGAAAAAAATCTGAAAGTCACCTTGTAACTTTCAAACTCAATGAAAAACATTATTATAGCATGCTCTTGCAATATTCACTTTTCCCTGAAAGAATCCTCACCCTTACCAAAAGCATTATGATTAAGGGAATTTAATTAGCCCATTCAAGCCAGCTTCATTTACCATAAATTAACATCTTAAAGGTAATATAGATTCGAATATTCATGAGAGAAAACAGACTTCTTTTTGTGACCTTTAATGAAAGTGCAATTGCTGAGTAATCAGTAAAAGCAATGGAACCTGTAAAAGGAAATTTTGAGATAAAAACAGATGTCTGCTTTGGCTTCTGAAATTCTTCCATAAATAAGGCTATGTCTAGATTGCAGGGTTAAATCGGAAAAAGATACACAATTTGCAGTTCGCTTTACTGTCTAAAGAGGCTTTCTGAAATTTGGCACATTGCCAAATTTTGGAAAAAAGTGCTTTTTCAACACATCCTTTATTTCTCGTAAAACAAGGTTTACAGGGATGGCAAAAGAACGTGTCCACTTCTTTGAAATTTTTTCCGAAAAAGCAGACATGTTCCATGGACCTCTGGTATCCCAGAAAAGCAGTGCAGTCTAGACGTAGCCTAAAAAATATGAAAGTAAGATTTTTTGGGAATGGGTCCTTGCTTTGAAATATAATGTCCACTTAGCACTCCTGTTTGCAGGTACTTTCTGTTCTTAAACAACACACACTCTAACGAGGAAAGCTTCAGAGTATTTGATGTCTAGCAGTTCTAAAAGAAACAAGATATATTATCATCATATGACATATTAATGCTCTAGAAATTAATTCTGTATACCTGAATCTAAGGATAAACATACAGATTGCTAATGGAATTAGTGAAAACTGAGGTGTACAGTTGTACCTAAGGTAAAACTATTAGCATGAACAAAAATATAAAGCATCTAGTTTTCAAACAATGACTCTGTATAATGTTTGTATTACTGAATCACTAGCATTTGTAAAGCACTTTAGGTTTCCAGAATGAAGGATACCATGTAAATGCAAATATTGCATTAGCCATTATTCTACAACTAATATTTGAAAAACTGTTTTTGTGTTGTTTGTTTATGATGATTTATTAAAACTACAAGAGAAAATGGAAGGGCTTATTAGTCTGAAAGCAGTTTTCTGCATAGTCAGTCTTTAAAAATAGTTAGTGAAATGTAAGCTCTCCTACTCATGAAGAAAGCTGTAGTCTATCCATGACCCATAAAGATACCTTGAGCACTCAGGGAATGGATGAAAATATTTATAGAGCTACCAAAGATGGCTGTGTAATAGAGATCTGGTATGCGTTTGAGCCTTTCAATAAGAATTAAACACAACTGTGACAAAACAGTGTCAGAATTTTCTATTAAGCCTGTAGGATTATCCTTCTGTCCTTCACACAGAATGTTTTCTGTTATTTTTATGACAGTGTTTATACTTTCTTGCACCTGTCTTTTATTAAAGAACACATGTATGCTAACCACACATGTATGCTAATCATCTTATTAGAAGCCGATGACAGTTGACTAGAGTTAGATATAGAATATGAAAAATGACCTTGTACAAGGAAAACTTGCTAATTATTTTTTGTTTTTGAGACCTGATAGGAAATTCTCCCTTTGCCAGAATTTTCATTAGCATTTTAAAGACAATCATCTGTTATTTGTTGACATTTCTGTCTTGCTTCCAACTGAGCAAAGAAAGTTTTGGTTTAACACCCGAAGTCTCATCTATTGCTGCTGTCACATGTTATTTGCAATAGAACTGTAATTACTTCATTTCACAAAGCTGATATGTTTAGATTCATAATAGACAAATGTACATATCCTTAATCTCAGATGTATTTTAAAAACTCCCCTCTCTTTTACTGCACTTAATTTACTTGTCTATATTGACAAGCCTATTTTCAAGCAGTATTTTGATTGTTATTCTGATGTAGTATGCAGGCTACTAAGTGGAAAAAAATAAATGAAGCAGAAAAAAAGATTAAAAGGCTGGTTTTGGCATATTTCAACAACAAATATCTTCCCTTTTTTCTATCATAGATAACTGAAAATAGTTTGAGAATGTAAATACAGGTGTGGGGAAAGTTGTCATTTTTCCATAATTATTCACAGAAATTGTATTAATAAAATTATTCCAAAAGTTATTTCCTTGTTGCACTAACTGTAAGGCTGATAATTGAAATAAGCATCACAATAACATAATACATTTATTACACATTGTTTGCTTCTGAATTATTCGGTATGGATTCATTATAATATTAAAGTTTTTATTATTTCTGTAAAAGAAATACATGTGTTGTAGTCAGAATCAAAAACTCTACATCAAAACATTATGTTTTGCTAGCAAGTGCCCATCTTTGTTGATGCACACATCCTTTAAGTAGAGCTATGCTGACACATAGCATCTAATCGTGAAAGCACACATCAAAAACAAATGGTCTCATGAATATTATATGGTCAGAATATTCCCATATGCTCTCCTAGCAGCGAGGATCGGTACCAGATTATATCACTTTTAATCTTTCATTTCATTGCTAGCTTCTGTGCTGTAGACTCTGGCCCCCAATCATGGAAACACTCGTATGCAAGCAGTTCTTCGTAGCTCGGTTTAGTTTAGTTTGTGGCGGAGAAAGAGGAGATGAGGTAAAGACACTATGATGATGATAAAAATTAACAGTAGTCTCACTTGTGGTCCCAAAGATGGCAAATCAGTGTGGTAATGGAGAATTAGTTTTGGACAAGATGCTTGGCTTTTGAACACATTGTAAGGGTGCGTCTACAGAGCAGGGCTTAACTTGAAATAAGCTGTGCAAATTGAGCTACATCAATTGCATAGCATATTTCGAAATAGCTTATATTGACATTGGGACCTCTACACAGCACTTATTTCGAAATAGAGCATTTTTCCTGACTTCCCTTACTCCTTGTACAATTAGGGTTACAGGAGTTGGAGTAAGAAGTCCTCCAGCTTGACAGTATTTTGACATTATTTCTAAATAACTGTCTGCTGTGTAGACACAGACTAAGTTATTTTGAAATAACACTAATTATTTCAAAATAATGTTGCAGTGTAGATGTATTCTAAGATAATCTCACAAGGAAATTCTGCCAGTGTTCTTACTTTATTTTAATGGAAAGTGTTTTAGCATTACTATTAGACAAGCCCCTCGAACAAAATTTTCAGAAGTACCTAAATGACACAGAAGCATAAGTTTCATTTTCAAAGGTGACTTTGGTTCTTCTGCTAAGACATGTAAGCACTTTTTTTAAATGATTTTTTCCATGGACTTTATTAGATCTTTCGGAAAATAAAGCCTTTTCCGAAAGATCTAATAAAGTCCATGGAAAAAATCATTTAAAAAAAGTGCTTACATGTCTTAGCAGAAGAACCAAAGTCACCTTTGAAAATGAAACTTATGCTTCTGTGTCATTTAGGTACTTCTGAAAATTTTGTTCGAGGGGCTTGTCTAATAGTAATGCTAAAACACTTTCCATTAAAATAAAGTAAGAACACTGGCAGAATTTCCTTGTGAGGTATGCACTTACTGTTTAGCCCTCTAAAAAGTACTATAAAAAAAGATGATGGTTGGCTTAGGAGAGTGTTAACAGGGTAGAAAGCCTTGTATTTGTAGGCCTCATGTTTGAATGCAATCCACCTCAGTACTGATCAGAATCAATTGCTATCTGACAACTTTTGAATTACCCGTGTGAAATGAGTAGGTGGTCTCAGACCAGTTTCTAATGGGCAGTCATTCATGTCACAACAGCTACCACTTCGTGGCCATTTTAGTAGAGAGTTCCATAATCATCTCACTAGTAGAGGAGGACTGTCCCGAACAAGCCTGAGACACAACGGGAGGAGCTGTGTGGAGAAGGTTGTAACACCTCTGACCATGGCATATGTATTTGATGAGCCAAGGGAATGATCTGTAATGCAAATAACTCAGTTTCTCTCTGCCCACTTGCCCAATTGTAGAATGAGAATTAAAAATGCTCATAGTGCTTCCCTCACAGGGTTCTGGGAGGCTTATTTAAAGTTTGTAAAATGTGATTGTTTAGAAGTGCCATGCAACCGTCCCTTATTATAACTCTCTTTCTTAATGTTAAGCAGTAGAAATAAAAGGCAATGCAGATGGGTCATTGTGCCACACAGACTCCATTTTATTCTTTTCTCATTATAGTTTCCTGTAACCTGGCAGTTTTCTACTTTGAAAGTATCCATGAGAACATTAATTGCGTGCACATTTATTGTCCAGCATTGGAAAGCTGCATATTGAAGCCCGCAACCAATGTTACTTTGTACAACATCACAGCAGGTAATACTGTATTATGTACACCAAGGCTGAAACGGGCCAGTGATGGGTTGTCGACTATCATGCTGGTTCAGTCATTATCTTAAGATGAGAGGAAAACATCACCTCATTTCATTTGAAGCACATACGGAAATGGCAAAAGGGTTTTCAGGGTTTTTTTGTCTACCACAGCTATAAACTAACGTGTACATTACATTTACTTACATAGATGTATATATTTATTTCTTTCAACATTTGAGAGATGAGCTCAGAATGCATGGCCTATGGTTTACATTTTCAGATGTGTATTTAATGTGTGTTCTTTTCTTCTTTAACAGGGATTGATCCAGATCTCCTTGTTTTTGAAAAATTCTCTTATAAAGATCCAAATACCCGTTCCTCTTTTAACAAATGGGAAAAGCAAAACAACTGCAGGACTGCTGATTCAGAGAAATGCCGGCACAATAATGTCACATGGAAGGCTCTTCTTCTCCAATCTCCATCTTCTACAACTAGCCAGGGCTTGGTAGCAAATGATAGTCACACCCACAATGGCAGTGGCTTGGTCCCAAAAACCAAACCAACCACACATTTATGGGCAAGGTCTCTACCACTGGAGGACCAATTTGCTAAGGAAACAGATTTGACTTCGGAAAGTACAGGTTTGACATCTACTTCAGAAAAAAAGATGTCTGTATCCACTAAGATGTTATCCCATATGCCCAGTCTTGCTCGCCTAAACAGCAGTAAGCAGCACTTCAATGAAACCAAAGGATACAGCGGCAGGAACTACACTTCAGATAACAAGGGTCAAATACCTGCTTGGCTAGCATTGGATACAAGTGCCTGGTTTGTCCCTGTGGTGTTTTGTTCTTCTTTCATCTTTCTTTGCTTCTGTACTGTTCTTCTGGCAGCTGGGTGCTGCAAAAAGAGGAGAGGTCACTATAAACCAGTGCAGAGAGGCGAGATTGGGACCAGGCAGTACATAAAATATACTCTTGTAAAAGATACTTTGTGATTGCAGATACCAAAAATAATAATAATAATGAGGAACTAATTAATTTGCATCACTTGTGCTGGTGGAAGAAGAAGTAGCAGCTCTATTTAGTGAAATACCTCTCACCATTTATTTCTTAGTTCAAAATCTCCAAATTTTCCTAATTTTTGGCAGATGTCTCTGCAACTTTTGGTAACACTGTCGATTAAACATCCTGTTATAATTCTCTTTTTATGATGCACTGATCCACAGAGATATAGGGTCAAATTCTATCTAGTCATATGCACATGCCCACAACTGCCAGTGAACTTAGAGGTGTTTGTATATATCTTGGTTTATAATTGGATCCAGAGTAATTTACATTTAGAAACTTTTCCCAACCTTTCTGTAGAGACAATGGTTCTCCACTTCCTCTGTGCACTCTTTTCCCTGCCTTATTTTGTATAACATGTAAAGTGTGTGTAAAATGCAACCATAGCAGAAAAGCAGCTATTTATACTTACTTTGGCTAAGTCTTTATGGAAACACAAGGCACAAAGTCACAGAGAATCAGGCCTACTTGCTGTTAGATCATTTATATCCTGAATGACATCTGTAAGTTTAAAACTTCTTTCACAAGCACTTTTATGCTTTCTCCCAGGCTATCTCTTTCAATTCCCTCCTCAAACACACATGCTCTGTGTGAATGCTGAAAAATGCAACCTGATAATGGCTAGGCGGATGGCATACTGTGATTACTGCTCCTGATTGGCTAAGATTATTTGTGTAACTCCATGTCATCCACCCCAGCCCACTTGTTTTTCTCATTTACCCTGTTATTGTCACCTCTTTTGGACTGAGCTCTTTGAGGAAGGAATAATCATTATGTGTTTATAGCATATAGCCCAATGGAGCTCTGAAATTATAGGCCTTTAAACACTCCTGTGATATAAATGTTAATTCATAAATAAAAAGAGCACTTCCTATTCTGCACTGTATACTCTATTGTGTCTATTTTAATAGTTTTCATTTTTTTTTTCATTTGTGGACTCCTAAAAATTTAAAAAAAGAGGTGTGCCCCGCTATGGAAATCTAAGACCTTATCTACACTATAGAGTTTTGTCAACAAAAGGCACCTATGGTCAACAAAACAGTAAATATGTTTACACACTGCAATATGACTTTTGTTGGAAAAAATGTTCTGTTTTGGGAACAAAATAAAATCACCCTGATGAGAGACATAAAGCTTTTTGCCCAAAATTTTTGCTGGCTAAGTGCAAGAGTAAACACCACACTTGACTTCATTACTTTCATTGGCCTCCAGGAAGGTGTCTCTCAAAGCCCATCTTGTCTGCTCTGTTTACCACTTTGAACTCCATTGCCCTGCTGCCAGGTAAACAACCATCTGTCTCATTTCCTCAGAAGCCTTAGGGATTTTTGAAATTCCATGTCCTGTTGGCGCAGACTGGTGAGGTCTCATTCATCTTCCCAGGTGACCGTGGCAGCTTATTGCAGCAAATGCTCTCCCATTTTGACCACTGCGGAGCTGCTGGATCTTCTCAGTACATGGGGAGAGGAGGCTGTGCAGTTCCAGCTGTGCTTGAGGTGTAGGAATTCTGCCTGTCTGAGACCCACACAGTAACTAATGACTGATGCTTCCACCCTCAGTTGGGGAGCACATCTCAGTCAATTAGAGACACAAGGTCCAAGGACAAGCTTTACCTCCATATAAAAGTGAGGTAGCTGAGGGCAATTCACCTGGCTTGCAGGTTTTCAGGGACCAATTGAGGAAGTGATCTCCCACCTCTATGCAGCTAGTGGCCTGTGCTCCCTCTGCCATGCTAGAGCTTCCACATATATTTATTTACAAATAAACTTTGCAGAATTTTAAAATACTGTGGGCAAAAATTTAATTTTTTTTGGTGCATAATTTTAAACTTTTGGGCACAGAATTCCCTCAGGAGTAATGGAGAGATCACCATGTGAGATGGTATGGCTGCTATACCTGTGAATGTGTATTCATAATTTTGTGTTGCAAAATCCTAGAAAATAAAGGCTGCGCTGTTTAGAACCTCCAGTTGCTCAAGTAACATAACACCCACTTTCTAGCTGAGCACTATGGAGGTTAGACTATGGACACAAATAGAGCTTTAAGAAAGAAAGGCTGTATTCAGACTGAAGAAAGCCAATCCAATAGTGCAGATCTAGTTCTCTTAGAAGTATTTATCTGGGTTTAGGTTTAAGCTACCTTAAACCTTAATTCCACAAAAGTACAATGTTTTTCATTTCTGGTGGCAAAAGGTGCATTTTGCTGTTGTTTAATCATATGGCTATGATAAACTACAAGGAACGAGTTTGATACACTATTTCTGCATTATTACACTGAATTAAATGTTTGTGTGGTGATGGATGGACAAGGAGAAAAGTACAAAAAACCCCAACTTTATTATTTGTTGCTGATATTTCCTTTTCATCTTGCATACAAAAGGGTTTTTTTAATGCTGCTTGTTCATGGTTAAAATTAGGAGTTTCCCCCTCATTTTTAAGTTTGTTTTTATATAAGCAGACATTAGAATAATTCAATGTTTTCTTATAAAGATTTATTAAAGAGCTCAGAAAATGAAAAGTCCTAGTTAATGGTTTTGGTGGTAAGCTCCCCCCCCCCCCCCCCCACAAATGTTTGTATTTTGTGGGAATGTGGCTGAACATTTCATTCGTTTAATTTACATCGTTATAGTTATGCTGTTGTGTAATATTATCACATATGAAGTAAAGAGCATTTAAACGTGTACCATCAGAGAGTACTCACCATAACTTGCCAGAAACTTATTCTTTTTTGTAAAATAAAGCTGATTGTATTTACCTTAATCTTTAATTCAAGAGTGCATCTCACAGAATTGACAGATTCCACCAGGATCTGTTGTTCCATTTTGACCTCAAGAAGTGCCTCGAGGGTCCAATTATTGATGTGTTGTCACCTTGTCCAAGACAGGCATGGATGTCAATGTTTTGACTCCTTTGGAGAGCTTCCCAAATTATCAGTAAAACCAGAAGAAGCCTCAAAACTGAATTCTAAAAATTTAAATAGGCCAGGGTTATCTGGAAAAAAATGAAATTTCTGTTGCATTATTTCATCTAATTTAAAAGCCCAAATCACTTCTCCCTCAAAAATAGTACTTATAGATATCTTTAGCCTTATGTTAATCTGCTTTGTAGCATATGTGCACACAGGCTTCAATACATAATTATAGACCCTTACAAGCTTTTTATACTTTAATTTCCTAAATTCTAGTAACTAATTCTAGTAACTAAATTCTAGTAACTAATATTCATCTAAAATAAATTTGACATTGATCTTTTCCATTGTAACCCAATTGAACCCACACAATTAATTAATTAACATGTATCTTATCAATTTTAAGATAATTTTACACGCATACAGTGAACTTTAAGAAAGTGATTTTTAATATACAGTAGTAACACAAATTGAACCAATGTGTTTTTTATAATTCTTTGTTCAAGAGAGCAGGTCAAGTTTCATCTGGCAGAAAGTAAAGAAACTGATAAACTGAAACATCAGTTCCAAAGATTGTCAAGATTCTATTGAAAATGCATTTGTTTTGCTTACGTTCATTAGCCAAGCTTCCTGTGTAAGGTACAATGGCAGCTTACTAACCAGTTGATCTAGAAACTTGGTTTGAAAAATGAAGAGCTAGCAGAATATGTTTAAGGCCTTGTCTACACCACAGAGGTTTGTCAAAATTATGTTGATGCTAAAAAAGCGCTATCATAAAAAATAGAATCGCATGTTCACACACATTCCCTCTGCCAGCAGAGCACATCCACAATTAGGGCATTGTTATTGGCCTAACCCAAAGTCCAGCTTGACACTTTCTGCCACTAGGTTTTTTGGGAAGGTGGAGAGAATCATGGCACACATTGGGGCCAGGCTCAATGTCCTATAATGTATTGTTTTCTGTCCTAGCATACCATAGACTTCTGTCTTTCTTTCACAGCATTTTTCAATGCTCCTTGTTTGCTGCACACTCTCACATCTTTGTGAGAAGAGATGAAACCCACGTTGCTCTCCTATGCTCTGATAACTGCCATTAAGTGATCATGAATGGGAGTGCAGTTAATCACAAAGTGCCTAACTGAAGAAGATTCCCGGTTGCTTGACAGCTGTGTGACATGGGTAGCAGCAACTTGAGATTGTTTTTTTGGTATTCACAGAACGGTTGCAGGTGGGCTCAGGGCCAAAAACACTGACTGGTGAGATTTTATTGTCATGTACGTCTGGGATGATGCCTGTTGGCTACAGAACTTTTTGATGTGGAAAACCATCTTTCTGAAACCATGAGCAGAGCTCACCCCTGCACTACAGCTCAAGAACATCACAATGAGAGTTGCCCTAATGGTAGAGCAGCACATGGCAATCACTGTGAGCAAATTAACAACACCAGACTACTACAAGTCAGTCATGAATCAATTTGGGAAGTTGACTGTTGGGGCTGTTAATGCACATGTGCAGGGCATTTAATTGCATCCCATGACTCTGGAAACGTGTATGCACTAGTGGACAGTTTTGTAGAAATGGGTTTCTCTACTATGAAGTGGCAATAGATGATGCACATATTACAATTTTGGCATTAGACTCCCTTGTGACAGAGGACATCAATACGAAGGTATACTTCTCTGTGGTGTTGCAGGCATTTCACTGACTTCAACATTTGGTGGTCTGGGGAGCATGCACCTTCAGGAACACCGGTCCTGAATAGAAAGCAAGAAGCTGAGACTTTCTTTCCAGACTAGAAGATTAAAGTGGGTGGTATGGAAATGGCCATCGTGATCTTGAGAGACCCAGGGTGCCCCTTATAGCCCTGGGCCATGAAATTTTACACAATAAACCTAGACAGCAATAAGAAGCAGTTTAACAATCATCTGAGTACGTGCTGGATAACAGTGAATGTGCCTTTGGCAAATTAAAGGAGAGCTAGTGATGCCTTTATGGCAGATTAGCCTTCAATGAAGATAATATTCCCATGGGCATAGTTACATATTGCACAGTCATTGTGAAGTTAAGGGGGAATGGTTTGCTTACGGGTGGATTCTTGAGGCAGACCACTTAACTGCTGATTTTGAACAGCATGATACCAGGTTATTAGAAGGGTGCAACTTGATTCAGGGAAGATTTCAGGCAACACTTTGAAAATGAGAACCAGTAATGTATATCTCTGAGACTGGTGCTGCAATGCTACATTGCTTCTTAGGAAAACTACATGTAAGGGTGAAATCTGGGGCCTTACATTCCAGGAAACAAATGCTCAAAGTGCCCATGTACATACCAGTAGTGCCTGCTATCTCACTTGGTAGGAAACAAAGATGATTCACCATGCAAAAACTTGGCTTATATTGTACAAGAAACAACACACATACACAGATGCTTGGTGGGTCAGGTGCTACCACTGAAGAGCAGACTTTTAGAGATGGGTGTAGGTCCAGCTATCATTTTGAAAGTTGCCTGAGAGAGTAC